ACCTGCTTTTATTCTAGCCTAAATAAAACAAATACGCCTTTCTCCAGAAGAAAAAAATATTATAGGAAATACTGTGAAAAATCCTTGCTCTGTTAAACATCATTTGGGAAATATTTATAAAAAAAAAATTCTCAGGAGTGCTAATAATTTTGACTTCAACAGTAATCGTTTTGAATAATCGTGATTACAACTATGACCAAAATAATCATGATTAGGATTTTTCCCAAAATCGAGCAGCCCTAATATATAAAATGATAGAGTATCGTTTCTGTTAGCGATGTAATGATTCACCTGAATCACGATTCGATACGATTCACTATACTAATCTTACGATTCACGATTTAGTCATATTTTTTTAACAAAATTATTTGAAACTAATTTTTGGTGAAAAGCCCTTCAAATTATTTTTTTCCTAAATGCTGCACATTTTTACCAAAATATTATATATTTTTTCTGCCACAACTAAATTGCTATTTTAAAAACAAATTCCAATATTAATACAAACAAACTAAAACTGTGACTGTGTTGAGATTTTACATATTTTTAAGAAATAACGGTATTTCTCTCTTTTTTGGCATAAGCTGAGGTCTTTGCACATATACAACGAAAAAACAGTTTCACTGGAGTCTGAGATGGCTGGTGGGGAGAGAAAAGCCTTTCCTAAACCAGAGAGCAGTGTGTACAGAGTTGGTGAATAGGCCCTCCGATCCCGGTAAATGATCTAATACCTGGTTCTGTAACAGAACAACTTTCTCTTTTAGTCTGAAAACATTCTCACTTTCACTGAAAATGCAGTGTGTGTGATCTCTGTAGCACTATAGGAGAAAGCGGAGCTGCAAATCATTCGGTCAGCGTGGCTGGCTTATTAATCGTTTTTTACATATATTTAATTCATCTTTATTTTTATACAAGCACTTTTACAATGTGGATTGTGTCAAAGCAGCCTCACATAGAAGATTATGGTGAATTGAAAGTGTCAGTTAAATTTTCAGTTTCAGTTCAGCTCAGTTCAGTTCAGTTCAGTTCAGTTCAGTTCAATTTTTAGTTGCGCGCCGCACACACACACAAATAAGCATGCAGTCTTTTGCACTGTTTAGTGCAACAAATGTGACAACTGGAAAGGGGGCGGTATATGATGCAATAATTTTTTATCTCGATTATTGTTTTTTTATAATCGTTAGAAGCCAAAATCCAAATCCAAATCGGATTTTTGATTAATTGCACAGCCCTAATATATATATATATATATATATATATATATATATATATATATATATATATATATATATATATATATATTATTTTTTATTTTATTTTTTTTTTCATAATATGAAATGACATATATCGCCAGGCCCACATAGCACACAATATAATATAAACTACTGCAGTTTATTTCCAGTAAACATTGTATATAAAACAACAATACATAATGTATTAACTGTATTTTAAACATTATGTTAAATAATAAACATTTAAAGAATGACATGTACATAAAATTATTTCATTATAAATAAAATAACTTGTATACAAGGCAGCACGGTACTGGAAAGACATGCAATATGCAATATTGCTGATGGGTATTGTGATTTATTACAATATAACATTTCTCTTGAAAATACTAGCTATGTCTTCAAAACATTTATTTAATGACATTAAAATAAAGAGGTAAAATATATTTTCAGATTTAATTAATTCTAAGACTAAATACTAAGATTAACTCAGACTAAAAAAAACATTTTGCAAACATTTAGTCTTTAAAACACTATTCTGTGCAGATACATTGAGGAGGGGATGAACATATTAAGGCCAACATGATCTAGTATAGATCATTTAGACAGATGCATAAAATAAAGGTAATTCACAATACATAAATTGCATATACTATTATCGCGATAACAATAATGTTGTGATCTATTGTGCAGCCCTACTTATATCTATAGATTTTCTTGGAAATTCAAGGTGCGTTTCTGCTGTTTACATAAAGCCATGACACAACACATCTCCAGCATAATGTTTGCAACATTAAGTTAGCCAACATTTCTCCACAGAGAATGCCAAGTCATCAACAGACACTGCTTAACAGGAAAACCTGGGATCCCCAAAACACTTTCCAGAAAGCAGTGATGTGATTTAACAGACGACTGCTGCAGGACATGACTATCTTTCCACATAACTGAGGTCTACACTTTCGGTTAGGACAGATTTAGGGCAAGCATGTGTGCATTGCAACAGTGCAATTGTTACAACACACAAAATCACATCCACTCTCTAACGCCAATCTCAAGTATTACATCAGCTACAGTACATGCAATGTCGGCCTGAAATGCTACGTTTCAAAAGCTGAACTTGCAAAGATTTTTAATAAAGTAAAAAATAAACAAATAAATGAATGAATGAATAAATAAATAAATAAATAAATAAATAAATAAATAAATAAATAAATACATTTGTGTATTATGGATGTGAGATTTGCAGTAAAAACATAAAATATAAATTCACAAAGAAAGATTATGTAAACATTATATTAAACATCTGTTATATTTGCCAAAACAACTAACCAAGAGTTATAAGATCAAAATAATATTAATCTATAAACATTTTTGATATATTAAAGACAATATATTATATTACAAGACAATAAAACATGCATTATGGATGTGACCAAAAAAGGTTGAGAGTTTACAATATACAACAAAAAAAATCTGTGAATTAAACAGTACAACCCAAAATAAACAATTCTAATCAAACGAATAAGAGTCGGCTCTCTTTATAAAATTTCATATTTTTGCGTTTATGAGGAAAAAGCTTTATTACGCATGTTTCACCTCTCCGTTATAGATGTGACTAGGACGGGGCGATAAAATCCGTATCAGTCTTTATTGTAGAGCCCTAGCCCAGCCCTGGCTTGATTTTTGGCCCGAGTCCAACTCAAAGCCCTTTTTTTGTTTTTTTGTTTTTACGGCAAACATCAAATACTGTTACAACCATTAAAATAGTTTTTTAATCAGAATAATTTGTTAATAATAATGTTTTGGAGGGTTTTTTTTTTTTTTTTTGGTTAGCCTTTTAAAATGTAAGTTTTAGTTTAAGTGACATCGATATTCAAACGGTCTGTTGTCCAAAGTGAGTTTACTCAATTTACCCCTGTGCGTACCTTGGAATAAGATCCTGCAGGCTCCCCTGGACTTACAAGTTGTGTATTGTGCATAACCAGTTGGCTCATCATTTAAAGTTGTCACTATTTGAAAAGTTGACCAGAAGTTTGCCTTTCCTCCAGTGTTTTTCACAGTTCCACGTGGCTGGAAATCTCTATGCACAAGACATCATTGGCACTTCTGGACTGCACGCATAATACGTCATTAAACTTTTTTTTTAAAGTTTTTTTAAAATGCAGGCCCGATATGCATGCTAGCTAGAATGTGAAAATTAGCCTGAAGCTTAGCCCTAGGGGCATGAAAAGGTCGGGCCCCAACAAGCTTGTGCTCAAATGCAGGGCTCTAATTTATTGACCAAACACCAATGTCAATAACAGTAAAAAAAGGTTTGGTATGAAGTTTCAGTATGAAGCACTATAGTTTTATTAAAATGTGGTTGCTAAGCGTGCCTTGGAAGGAATGGCAATAAGCTTAGGGTGTAGGTTCCAATGGAGGCACGCTACTTCACGACAAGCACATGGGAGCGACGCTCATATGATGTGCAAGGGGCGCAAATGTGACGCACATTTTCCAGGCACACCCAGATGAAAAACCTCTTTTCCGAATGCATGAATCGCAGTGCGCTTGCTACAAGTAGAACTAACCAATCTGCTTCACACTTTGTGGAATACACACATATCAGTAAAATTACACTAATTACCTGAGACAAACACAGAGCATCCAAGCACTACAATGCTTTTTACTTTTTTTGTGCATTGAAAGCGGTAAAGGAAATCAAGCGCTAGCACTTATCACTTCAGGTCAGAATAACAACACATGCAAAAATATGTGGCGTATAGCAGCAGTGAGGAGATTGTAAATAAAAAAAGCATGTAAGAAGGTCGGCAGAGTGGCTTTTTGGTTTCTTTTCATGGGCATCACAGCCACTAGTTCCCCATGTTTGATAGTCATTGGCTAATGTGCTAATATGATTTCACTATTTAGAATTAGCTGAATATTCTGAAATTATATTATTATGGAAGGGCAACACAGTGGCTCAGTGGTTAGCACTGTCGCTTCACACCAAGAAGGTCACTGGTTCGAGTCCCGCCTGGGTCAGATGGCAATTCTATGTGAAGTTTGCATATTCTCCCCGTGTTGACTTGGGTTTCCTTCATGTGCTCCTGTTTCCCCCCCAGTGTCCAAAGACATGCAGTATAGGTTGAATAAACTAAATTGTCTGTATATGAGTGTGTGAATGAGTGTGTATGGGGGTTTCCCACTACTGGGTTGCAGCTGAAAGGGCATCCGCTATGTAAAACATATGCTGGATAAGTTGGCGGTTCATTCCACTGTGGCGACCCTTGACGAATAAATGACGAAGCAGAAGGAAAATTAATGAATTAATAATATTATAAACTTTACCTCGATCAATGACATCATATACCGCCATTCACCTAAATGTTGTCAGAAAAACTGCACTTCACTCCATAGGACAGCATCACTAACACCTTTCCCAACAGTTTTAAAGATGAATAATAAACATCACTAGGCTCTGTTGTCTAATTTATGCATGTATGTTTATTTTTGCACCCATAATAACAAGACCAAGCAATAACAAGCCACACATTAGCTTCTGTAAACCCATACCAGCATATCAAACAAACAAACCAGCGCTTTATACACAACGCTTCGAAAATGTATATTATAAACCTCATAAAAGCTGACCTGAGCTGGACTGGACATGGAGGCCCAGTGTTATGATCATCATCCGGTGACATGTGACACATGCACGCGCAGAGCAGCTACACATTTACACATTATAGGCGCGCGAATGAATAATATGACATGATGCTGCAGGTGTACCTGTTGTGATGTGAGCTCCACATGCAGGACTCTGGAAGATGTCGCTCCGGGGTTGCCGCTGACAGATCCCGCGGACACCGAGAGATCCCGACCGGCGATGGAGTTCATCCTTTTACGGTACTACAAGCTATCCCGTCATTCAGTCAACACAGCTCAGCCCAATAGGCGACTAAATAGGATACTGTCCCAGTCCAAATATGCTTCCCAAAATGTGCAGATGTATAGTAAAAAGCACTATAAGCACGCTTAAACACGACTGCTTGGGTCCCAGCGGCGATATAAACAAAGTAAGTCCTGCCTAGGAGGAAGCCATTACCGCGACCTTGATCGGCAAACCCTCGCGTGACGCCCATTGGCTGAGGAAGCTGTCAATAAAAGAGATGTTTGGTGACGTTAAAGAATAATCTCGGTCGATTGGTGTTGGGCTTGTCGATCACAGGGAAAGGGGCGGGAGGAGGCCTTTAGAAACTCACGCTGCGCTGTGTTCGTACAAATATGAGGAAGTGAGGGGGACGTGTTTGAGTAACGTGATCTCAACGGGCGGGTTGTTGAATATAAACCGTTTTTTATTATTTTTGTTTTAGTATTATTTTGGGGATGATAAGCATGTTATTGATACGAGCGTAAAATGTGTGACGTGATATAAGACTGTGAGTTACTTTATAATAACGAAAGCAGCATGGTTCACTGAACAAAGAAAGTAGTTTTAATTATCATAACCAGGCTAATTGGCGAGTATATTATTTTATATTACGTTATTAGTAGTAGTAATAGTAGTTAAATAAATAAATAAAATATTAATTCAAAATAAAAAAATAATATTTAAACCACAAGAGGGCGCCATTGCCTAAGTATTTTAAGATTAGCAGTATATGGCATGAATTCTTGTTTTAAGTTGTTTTAATTTTTTGGGTCCTTGTGGGTCTTTTAAATTAAATCAATCATAGAATGTGCTCCTCTGAGAGTATAGCTCTAACCCCAATTAGACACACCTCAGCCAGCTACTCAAGCTAGCATACTAGAAACATATTGGCAGGTTGGCTATTAAACTCTGAAACTAAACTTTGCAGGACACCGGCCCTCCAGGACAAAATTTGTTCCCCCTCCTTTAGATGGACTCTGTATCTCCCTTTCTGTGTATCCATGACCATCAAGTGGGATGAGTCCAGATGCACATCAAAGGGCTGCAGCCCTGCAGAGTTTTGTTTCCTGCTTCAACACACTTACTTGTAGGTTTCAAGTAAGCCTGAAGAACTCATTTAGTTTGATCAGGTTTGTTTAATTGGGGTTTAATATAAACTGTGCTGAACTTTGGCTTTTTGAAAGTTTAATTTGTATCTTTGAATGAAAACATACAGTAACTAATTTGACTCTTTAAGCTTGCTGTCAGAAGAAATGAGCCTAACTGCTCAGTCTTGTTTTTTGCCTGCATAAAATGTGAGTAATAGTACACAGTAAAGCATATATATATATATATATATAATGTCAGCTAGAACCTTATATATATATATATATATATATATATATATATATATATATATATATATATATATATATAAAATAAGGTTCTAGCTGACATTTTTGTCAGAATTGAGTTTTTGACATATTCTTGTTAAATGAAATTTACATTTTAAGACGTTTTATTTAAAAAAAATTGTTACACACATTGTTTGCTATGGAATGCAAAAACTTTGAAGCTTAATATTTCAAAATCATTCAGAACGCAGATAGAACCTTATAATTCCAAGGTGACTATATGTGTATATATATGTGTGTGTGTGTGTGTGTGTGCGTGCGTGCGTGCGTGCGTGCGTGCGTGCGTGCGTGCATGTATGTATGTACATATATATTATTGTGATTACTGCACATTTCTGCAAATTCCCTTCCATAGGATGTTATTGTTTTAACGAAAGTGGTCTAACTGCACAGTGTTGCCCTGAGGCAACAAATGAAAAACTACAGTTTTAGTATAGATAACAAAAAGTGTCTTTTCTCAATCAAATATGCTCCTTCACATATCCATGCACATCACACATATTGTTAATATAAAGAAAATTCAATTTTAATTTGTTAAAAAGTTAAATCTATCTTATGTTCTGCTCACAGTGTCCTCAAGCAGGCTCTTTTGCCTCGAGAAGGAAGGTTAAATCCACATCCACCTCAAATTTCATTGGTCACAAACTTATTATTCCACTTTTTTTGTGATATTTTATTTTTAAAAATGTAAAGGAAGGGTTTTGTGGGCTAAAAAACATTTTCTTTTGCCTGAGGGCAACACCATGACATAGAGGGTTAGATTAAATTCAACTTTATTATCATTACACATGTACAAGTACAAGGCACCAAAATGCAGTTTAGGTCTAACCAGGAGTGCAATAGCAGCAAATGCAGGATACAAGTATAAGTTATATAGTGCAGTTATAGAAAAACTATAGTGATATTTACAGATGGATATACTATAAACATTAGGTTTTATTCATGTATTCAGGTTAAGAATTAATGGGGGTTTGGGGGGGGGGGGGGGATTGACCCCCTAATAAATGCTTAACCCCCCAACCACACATCACAAAACTGCAAACTACTGTATATGAAGAGTTCAGATGCAAAAAAACATCTAAAATTTTCCTCTAAAATTAGCATTCTTCTCAGGCTCCTATGTCTTGATTCAGTAATTTCACGTTTATGGCAAAGAATGTTTTTTTTTTCATCGATTTTTAACATAAAATAACTGAACATAAACATAAGAGGCAGAGGAAAACGCTCATCTTCATATGTACTGTATATCAGTATGAAATCTGCAAATAATTAAATCTTTAAATATACATATTACACATTAATTTTATTTACAGAATTTAATATATGTAAAAGAAATATCTTAGCAGAAGTCAGTGACCCACATCTTTCATTCATGCCTGTTTTAACCACCTCACCGATATAAGCCAATGAAATAAGAGCTTTCCGTTACACCTCTATTTCTGGGCCCCAGATATTGATTCCTGTACACACACACACACACACACACACACACACACACACACACACACACACACACTCACTATGAGCACATGTTGATTTGTTAATAGGCCTAAGAATATAGCTACATAAATCTGTAATAAATCTTATAATGTGTCTTAAAGGCATATTATTTGGAATCTCAAAGGTATATTTGAACATATTTAAATTATATAGCCGCCATTTGATTTTATAGTCTTATCTATTGATCAATTGTAACACATATCTTACATGACCCATGAACTTTGGACTAATAATCTGTAACTGTTGCATAAATCTATGTCTAATTTTCAGTCTAATCAAAAACTATGACTGGATTTAAATATATAGAGTAAGCAAACATTTGCTGTTGTGTCAAGGACAGTGGTGTGATTTAACAAAAGACAAGCGCATCATACTTTTCCATAAACATTTATTCACAAAATATATAAAAGTTTGATTTAAAGAATCAGGATTTGAAAGAAGGCTGATATCAGAGACACACTGAGGCATTTATTGCATATTCACACAACATTAAAGGCAGAAAGTCATAGTCCACAGTTAAACATCAGCATGTAATTGCTTATGATCCACCAATCAAGAGCTGCAGACCTCCTGAATCCTCCTAAATACACATTCAACATATCAACACTTGATTCTCTCAGGTTTAACATAAGATCGCATATATACATTTTGGCACTTCACTTCGGGTTATTTGTTATTTAACCCAAAAAGTCTTGTTTGATTTGGCATTTCGTTAAAAAATAAGGCCTGAACCGAATGTCATGTAAGGAAATACTGTGGAAAAAATGAAATATTATTTGACAGTAGCTGAACAAAGCCTGCATGTGCAACTTACAGACACAAAATTAATACTTCTGTGGTAAATTATCAATACACTTAAAGAAAAAAAAAAATGACCAGCATTCATTAACATTCTGATAATACCATCACACAAATAATCTTCATTTCACCTGCTCTTTTACCTTCGACTTATGATCAAATTGGATCATTTTCCTAAAAACTAAACACCCAGTCAAAATCACTTTGGCTTTTTACAACAGCTGAATCACGCTTTGTTTTAAGAAGGCCAAAATTCACTCTTTGGTTCCACTTTGCAGTGAAGCAAAACACAACAATTGCATTGCTTGTGCGTTTCAAAATATATAATGGGGCGAACAAAAAATTATTTTTATCTACAACTATTTCATTTAAATCCTAAATACATTACTTGTAAATACATATTATGTAGGGGGTGTGTGATTTTGAGAATAAAATATATATTTAATAATTACAATTGCTTAATATTTAGCAGAGTGTTTTTGTTTTATGTACTTTGGCAGGTTTTGTCACAATCAACAGCGACCTCTAACCACCAGAGGTCGCTGAAAAACATTAGAGCATGTATGAAGTTGCAAGATTTGTAGTTTGTATGAGTGAGAATGTTTTTCAGTGACCTCTGGTGGTTAGAGGTCGCTGATGATTGTGACAGGTTTAGGCATCTTGTGGATCAATTAATATCACAATACAACCGCCAGTGGGTTGCGACAAGTTCCTAATGAGTGATTCACTAAATCATTGATTCAAGTGATTCATTCAAAACAAATGATTCCGGCAAGAATCTGAAGTACGCATCCAATGGACACTACTATTTCATGAGGTCACAGGAGAGGATTTATTAAACAATTTTTAGCAGAGAATGTTTATTGTGCTGGTAGTTTGCCTGGTTTAGGCATTTTGTGGATCAATAAATATCACAGTAAAAAAACGCCAGTAGGTGGCGACAAGCTCCTATTTTACTGAGTGATTTACTAAATCACTGATTCAAATGATTCATTCAAAACATCTGAATCATAAAGACTCAAAGCAACAGAGCATCCAAAACCGCATACTTCCCTGTTTATCGCGATTCATAGTATTCGAAATGTCGTAGGTGAAAAGTTTGCAGATCACCTACTTCTAAAATTCTGAAATGCGCATCAAATGGACATTATAATATCTAAGAAAGCCACAGGGGAAAATTCATAAATGGAGTAAAGCAACGCAGTAGTAGCTCATGTGATAAAATTTTCAATTTCCATTCACACTTCTCAGATTCAAACCATTTTCAATATTGACAATAAAAATTGTTTCATATTTTCGGGGAATTATTGTGAGTAATAATTATTGAACATTATTTTGCAAAGTTTGTTTTTGTATTGGTATTATGGATGGTTTAGGCATCTTGTGTGGATCACTAAATATTACAATAAAACTGCCAGTAGATGGCGACAAGTTCCTAATGAATGACTCACTAAATCACTGATTCAAATGATTCATTCAATACAACTGATTCCTAAAGACTCAAAGCAAAGGTGCATCCAAAATCACATACTTCACCTTCTATATAGTATTTGAGTCAAGCAGTATATCGCAATTCATAGTATTTAAAAATTCCTCTCCTGTGTTATCAATAATGATACATAAGAAATATTTAGCAGAGGATATTTTTGTATTGGTACTTTGGATGGTTTAGTGAATAAATAAATATCACAACAAAACCGGCCAGTAGATAGAGACAATTTCCTAATAAGTGATTCACTAAATCTCTGATACAATTGATTCAATCAAAATAATGTAAATGATATATGGTGGATGTATTACGTCCAAATTCCATCCATACTACTCATATTCATACTATATAGAAAGTCTTTTCAAATGGTACTGAAGTAAATTGAAATACAAATGTAGCACCTACTTGAGTAGTGTGCAATTTTGGACAATCATTGCATCCCTGACTTTACAAACATATTAATTCGAAAACAAAACGGCGTTGCTCTGACTCAATTTGTGTATAAATTGTAACTCAATATGAACTTGTTTGTTGAACTGTTGTATAATACCACATGTGTATGCTAATATTTAAATGCAGATATTTGTAATAACGGCACTCCTGCTTATGTGATGTCACATTACTGAGTCATAAACATTAAAACCCATACATGGAGCTTTTCTGCTCTCATTAACTTCATCATGGGGTCATTCGAACTGGAAAATAACAAAGATATTTTCATCAATGATAAATATCACACACCCTTAATATTAAAGAATATACAACCAGAAGTTTACATACACTCTAAAAAAAGGAACATAAACATTTTTTTTTTAAATGTCTGGTGTTAAATACTAAACATTTACTATTTTAGGTCCGTTATGATTACCTAAATGATTTACATTTGCTAAATGCCAGAATAATGAGAGATTTGAGTATTTTTTTTAATATATAATTTCTAGAGAGTCAAAAGTTTACATACATATCCTTGGTATTTTTTAGCTTTTAAACTGTATAACTTTTGTCAAATGTTGTGGGTTTTCACAAGCTTCTCGCAATAGTTTGCAAGAATTTTGGCCCATTCCTCCTGACAGAATTGGTGTAACTGAGTCAGATTTGTTCAAGGCAGTGGCGCAGTAGGTAGTGCTGTCGCCTCAAGGCAAGAAGGTCGCTGGTTCGAACCTCGGTTCAGTTGGCGTTTCTGTGTGCAGTTTGCGGTACAAGTGAATAGGGTAGGCTAAATTGTCCATAGTGTGTGAATATTTGTGTGGATGTTTCCCAGAGATGGGTTGCGGCTGGAAGGGCATCCGCTGCGTAAAAACTTGCTGGATAAGTTGGCGGTTCATTCCGCTGTGGCGACCCCGGATTAATAAAGGGACTAAGCCGACAAGAAAATGAATGAATGAATGAGTCAGATTTGTTGGCTGTCTTGCTCGCACAAACTTTTTCAACTCTGCCCACAAATTTTCTATAGGATTGAGGTCAGGGCTTTGTGATGGCCACTCCAAAACATTCACTCTGTTGTCCTTAAAGCACATTTTAACCAATTTGGCAGTATGCGTAGGGTCATGATCTGTTTGGAAGACCCATTTGTGGCCAAGTTTTAATTTCCTGGCTGATGTCTTGAGATGTTGCTTCAGTATTTCTACATAATGTTCTTTCTTCATGATGCCATCTATGCTGTGAAGTGGACCAGTCCCTCCTGCAGTAAAACAGCTCCACAACATGATGCTGCTGCCCCCACACTTCACAGTTGGGATGGTGTTCCTAGGATTGTAAGTTTTCCCTGTTGTCCTTCAAATGTAACACTGGTCATTATGGCCAAACAGTTCAATCTTATTTCCATCAGACCACAGGACATGTCTCCATTTTTTTTTCCCAGTGTAATTTAGCAAATTATAATCAGGCTTTTTTGTTGATTCTGGCTTGTTGATTTTTTCCATGTTGTCACACAAGGAAGCAGTGTGTTTGAGGTTTTCCTTAAATACTATTCTACAGTTGTGTCTCTAATAACTCAAATGTTGTCAATTAGCCAATCAGAAACTTTCAAAACCTTGACTCCATCATCTGAGCTTTTTCAGAGGCATAACTATCTTATTGTATGTAAACTTGACTTAAAAAAAAAATCAAACAAAAAACAAAAAATATCTCTCATTATTCTGCTATGAAGCCAACAGAAACAAATTTGTTAATCCTAACTTACCTAAAAGAGAAAAGTTTAGTCACATTAACATCTGACTTTTGTTTTTAGATGGTTCTGTGCCTTTTTATACTGTATGTAAACTTCAGGTTTCAACTGTACATTATCCACCAGCGGTGAAATCAAGACTACCCTCTTTTTTCCAGACATTAAAATTCCATTTCAGATTATGGGTTGTACTTCCCGGTTCCAGGAACTTCCTTTCAAATCAACTGAAAAATAATACTAAATAAATAATTTTCAATTTAAATAATAAAATTGTGCTACAAAGAATCTACATTAATAGTAAAACTGAGTGAGATTAGATCTGTGCTTTATTTTTATGCTTCATGAAAATAATGTTAGGCTTGGTATTTTAAAGTAACATTAGCATCACAAGCATATCTGTGGCCAAAGCTCTCATGATTCACGGTGTTTTGTTCTTCAAGGTTATTTTCTCTTTGTATTCCCTCCAGTACAGTAATACTCAGTAGACGTCAATACTATTTCTGTGGAAAGTTTTTTTTACTGTTGAGTTTTTGGGGTCATTTGTGGTCTGCTGAAAGTGGTTTAATAAGGTTACTATTTAATGGGTGTAATGTGAGGACACCTCATTGTAAACGGTTTAAATAAAAGAAAATACTTAAAAATAGCTGATTATTTACAGTTTAGCAGAAGATCCTCCCATAATTCATGCAAAGCATCATGGGGCGTAAGAAAAAGGTGAATATTTGGCATCAGTCTGTGCAAAAATCAGCAGAAGTAGCAGAAGTATCGTAAGCTGAAATCACTGCAGCGGATTTCAGTAGATATACAGTATTGAATGAAGAGAAACAGCACCTTCTCTGAATGGGCATTTACGTTGGCTGAATGATATTCCAGAGTGTTCGTTTGGACAGTTATCATCATTCCTCAGTGAATGATAAGGGTATCGCTCTCATTCAGACCGAAGCGGGTCTTGTAATTGTCAAAGAGAGACTTTAGGGACCTGATGTACATGGCGTGGTACATGTCTATGACGTCCTGAGTCGGCTCCTCTATCTTTGGCACAGTGATAGGTTCACCAACTGAAGAATAGAGAAAAATAATATATTTTTTTTTTTCAGTACTGGGTTGTGGCTGGAAGTGCATGTGCTGTGTAAAACAATTGCCGGAATAGTCGGCGGTTCATTCCGCTGTGGCGACCTCTGATAAATCAAAGACTAAGCTAAAGGAAAATGAATGAATGAGGATTATTATTATTATTATTGATATTATTATTATTCATTCATTTTCTTTTCAGCTTAGTTCCTTTATCAATCAGGGGTCGCCACGGCGGAATGAACCGCCAATATTATTATTATTATTATTATTATTATTATTATTATTATTATTATTTTAACCAATATATTATTATTATTCATATAAATATGTATTATTAATATTAATATATTGTTTAAAAATATAGTAATAACAATAATAATATTATGAAATAAAAATAATAACAATGGCAGTTCTTTAGCTGTAAAAAAAAACCAAAATGTATAAATCTAAGTCATTAGGAAAATAATTCCATTAAAAAAACTGTAACATCAGCATTACACATGGTGAAACAGGAGAAGAAAACTGAAAATTTTTTTACATATAAATATATATATTTATATAAATATATATATTTAAATATATTAATATAAATATAAATATTTTTACATATATGTTTATTAAATATTATGATTATTATTATATTTATTGATTTATTATTAATAATGTAATATATTCAATATTGTATGTATTTTTTATTGTTTTTAGCTGTAAAAAACTGAATGCATATATCTAATTCATTAATAAACAAATTCTAACAAAGAACTGTAACAGAAGTATTAAACTTGGTGAAACAGCGTATAATGTAGTGATAAAGAGAAGAAAAAAAACACAGAAACATTAAAAAAGAGGAAAAAGTCCATCTCAGAACACTAAACACTAAAGACTAAATTTTAACCATTGATGTGGTTTTGATGTCAGCAGATATCGAACGTATGAAAGAGCTGCTCTATAAACACAAACCCTGTCCTTGAACGGATTTACCCTTTCTGTTTTCAGACAGTTTTAGGCTAGGAGGACTGGATGTAATTAAGTGTAAAGGTTTTAAAATTGAAATACATACAAATTGTTGACATCATGCATACACAAACTAATAACAGCAATATATATATATATATATATATATATATATATAATTTTTTTTTTTTTAAAGATCGTTATTATGGAATTATTTATATGTACACTATATATTTTTTTAAATAAAGACAATTTATTTCAGGAGAAAGGTCTTTATAATCCCTTATAAAGAGAATATGATATTAATATTTGAGTTATAACATGAATTTTTTTAAATGTATTACATATGTATATTGTGGCTCCACGATACTGGAAAAAACTTTTCACTTTCGCTGTGATTTATATTGCGATATTTCACAAGATAACTTTTATTTAACTTAATTTAATAAACTTAATAATTTTAGATTGATTTTGATGATTTTGTAGGGGAGTGCATTTGCATAAGTGACAATAAACAATCTTTAAGCAGAGATTAAATAGAGCAAATATACAGATGAAGGAGAAATTATTCAACTATACAAGTACATAAATAAAATAGTTAAATGTACAATAAAGCTGTATATTCTTCCTTGTTCAAATAATTAAGTGCAATTATTCGTTGTTAAAGCTGCAAACATGATAGTTTATCTGTTTTAAAAATGCTTTGACCTCACTCGAAATGTTTACAGAGGCCTTAATCACAATTGATAGACTTTCACTTTATAGTTCATGTTAAACTGAACAGACTCCAAAATGATCATGTCTTGTAAAGGGTTGTACCTGGTCAACTACAATCCTGACTCCTCATTGCACGTCCTGTGATGTGACTTCACACATTGCGATTTCGATGCTAAAACAATTTATTGTGCAGCCCTAATACACTGTAAAACCCAAAATGGTAAGGTAACTCAAATCATTTGAGGAAACATTGCAACAAACCATTTAAGTTCAAAAACTAATCCTAATCAGTATTGTGAACTCCATTTGAGTAAACAAAGCAATTAGAGCATAGTAAAACCCAATAAATGAAGAGAACTCAAACCCTTTGAGGAAACCGATTGCTACAAACCATTTGAGCTAAATTAATCTAAGTACTGTGAACTTACTCCATTTAAGTTGAAGTAATAATGTATTTAATTATCTCATTACCTTCAACACTCGTCAAAACTCTTTTCAAATGAGTAGAATTAATTTTCAGTCAATTTTGAGTGAACTACACTCATTTGATTTGATAAAGTTGACTGTTGGGTTTTACAGTGTGTGTGTATATATATATATATATATATATATATATATATATATATATATATATATATATATATATATATATATATATATATATATATATATATATATAGTATTTATTTAGACATACTACGGTACATACAAACTATTTAGTTATATAATTTATTTTGCTATATATTTTATTCATTTTGATGTTTTTTTTTTATCTTTTATTTGTCTTTTAATAAATGGTTAACAAAAAAAGATTAAGAAAAAACAAACATGGCCACAACAGATCAGTTTGGTGGCAAATATGCAGGTACTCACCAACTGTAGTGATAGGTTTGCAGTAAGGCACCAGACCCCAGGACTCTGGGAAAAACAGTCCACAGCCATGAAACAAACAAGGGGCAAAGCCTAAAAACTTCTGAAGTTTCCTCTGAATAGTACGCCACCAAGACCCTTCTTCAAAAATCAGCTGTTTGTAAACCTCATTCTCCCCAAAGGAGTAAACTGGCACCAGATCCGCACTGAGAGGGAAACAGGACGTTCAGAAGTTAATAAAACAACAAGCATTTGAATAAAAATAGTCACCACCACACTTCCCCAGTTAAATTAAGAATTGTAAGCCATTTTTGTTTAATACGTTTTCAAAAAAAGTTGTTTAAATATGCAAATGAGGTCTTATTTCTTTAAATAAGTGAACATTTGCGTACACTTCTAGCACAAAAATCTAAATATTGCATAAAGACAGATTCAAAATTATTTTATTTTTGACATTCATTCAGTTTTCCTCAGCTTAATCCCTTTATTCATCAGGGGTCGCCACAGCAGAATGAACAAGTACTCAGTTGCGGCTGGAAGGGTATCTGCTGCGTAAAACATTTGCTGGATAAGTTGGCGGTTCATTCCGCTGTGGCAACCCTAGATGAATAAAGGGACTAAGCCGAAGGAAAATGAATTTTGTGTATTTAACTGTAATATGAATTGTATTTTACTGTAGAACTATTATGCAATATAATTAAGTATATATTGCATACTATTGCATACTTATATATTAAGGCCTAGTAATCAGGCACGTGCACAAATAGGGCTCAACCTGTGCTGTGCACATGCCCCCCCCCCCCTTTACAGTACGCGCGCGACAACACCACTGATCAGAACGTGTGAGACAACACCACTCTTCAGTATGCGCCCAGCGGTGGTGGTGGCGGCGACGACGACAACGACAACAATAACCCCACTCCCCCCCCACCGGCCCTCAAAAAATGTATCCTGCACATGCCCTTTGGACAGTCCTTTGCACAGACCTGCTCGTAATCATCTTTGTGAACACTAGATTTTTTTATATTGTTTCTGTTTTGGTTCATTTGAGGATTGTTTTTAGTTTGGATTAGTGTTTTTAATGGTATGTCCTTTAACATCTGACTAAAGCTGGATTTATACTTTTGCCTGGCGCCGCATCGCGCTCCTCCGCTGACTGCACACACACCCTACGAAACGGACCAGGCTTTTATACTTGCCGCATTCGTGTTATTCTTTAAAACGACAGGGGGCGGTCAAAAGAAACTGACTGTAAAGTCAGACGGATAAACAGAGAAGTAGAACGTTTCTGGAACTACATCCATATCATTAATATTATTCAAGATTTTTTAGTTAGTTATTTGTTTTATTTATTTTAATTATTTAATTGATTATAAATATCTTTATTACCATTTAAGTTTTTTTAATCAAACTTTGATGCAACACTTGCTTTTGTTCATGTCTTAGACCGTTTTACCTAATTATGTTTATTAAAATATTAATGACAACAGAGCATAAGTTGCTTTACAAAAATATGTATATTTTTTAGATTAGTTTTTTTTTTATTTAATTTTAATTTTTTTTTTAGATTTAGCCCATTCCACAATTCACACATTATTGTCTGGCTAGTTTCTGTCCTACACATATGCTAAAAAGGCAATAATGGTCCAACATTCTGGACTATTATCTCCTTATTGGTGTATATAGCCTAGAAAAACAGGCCATCAGTATATTGCAAACTGATTGGTTCAAATATTCGTTCCAGTTATCAAAGAAATAATTTGTTCCTTAATTATAGTTTTGTAACTATTCAATTGTTTTAAACTCAAATTGCAATACACAGTTCAAGTCAGAATTATTAGCCCCCCGGTTTATTTTTTTCCCCAATTTCTGTTTAACGGAGAGAAGATCTTTTCAACACATTTCCAAACATAATAGTTTTACTAACTCATTTCTAATAACGGATTTTTTTATCTTTGGCCTCATGACAGTAAATAATATTTTACAAGATATTTATCGAGACACTTCTATACAGCTTAAAGTGACATTTAAAGGCTTAACTAGGTTAATTAGGTTAACTAGGCAGGTTACAGTAATTAGGCAAGTTATTGTATAAAGATGGTTTGTTCTGTAGATTATCGAAAAAAATTAGCTGAAAGGGGCTAATAATTGTTACCCTAAAATTGTGTTTAAAATATTAAAAACTGCTTTTATTCTAGCTGAAATAAAACAAATTTCTTTAGAAGAAAAAATATTATCAGACATACTGTGAAAATTTCCTTGCTCTGTAAAACATCATTTGGGAAATATTTAAAAAAGAAAAAAAATCAAAGAGGGGCTAATAATTCTGACTTCAATTGTACGTACATCAGTGAAAAACCTATGACGTAAAACCTATTTCTGTAACTGTATACCCGGGTCTCCACTTTTGCCATGGCCTCTTTTCACACAAAATGTCTTCAAAGTGGTTCATATTCAACTCAAATCAAACGCAGCGCTACACAAACTGTTAGCTTGTGTTTAAAAAAAATTATACGCTCCACCAGCCGAAATCAGGTCGCCTGCTCCCAAAGCGAAATACAGCGAGGACGTCACATTTGCTGCGCGCACTCAAGCGAAATATCGTACGCATCGAGTATAAACCAGGCTTAAGGGACCACCAATGAAAGCTTATTTGGGTACATTTTCCTTCTATGGAACGTTGATTAATGTACACTGTCCCTTGTTGTGAAATAAATAAACAAAATAAATAAACAAATGCAGTGTTAGTGTATTTTAAAGTTGCATGCGAAAATTACTGTACATTTTACAGTAACAATATACAATACTGAAAATATATATGCAGCCAGACAAACTGTGATGTAAATGTAAACACAGTTTTTTTTCTGGTTTTTAACAGCGTAAATCTTGTGAGAGGCAGGTCACACTTAAAGAATGTGTTCATTTATCCTGTAAGCTTCTTTGAGATTAGAATAGTTGAGGATTTTCTGTGTATTACAATTGCTTTTGTAATGATGCAGCTCTACTCTGAGCAAAGCTATGGGCAGAATTTGTGTTGTTTCTCCACATCACTTTGTTTCTCACAACATACTGGCTTAATACACCAACACAGTCTTATTTCTTAAGGCTTTGTGTAGCTTCACATGCAAAAGTCCCACTTTACTGCAGGCCAAGAAAACCTTGACAGAACTAAAGACCTTCAGGAAAGACAATCTAACATTACAGCACTGAACTTCATTAGCCGCATTTCCACTATCGGGCCAGTGCGAGCCAGGGCTTTAATCGGGCCGGGCCGGGCCAATAGCCCGGGAGGTTGAGAAATGAGGCCGAAATCATGTCGCGTTTCCACTGACGGGCTAATAGCTCACAGCGCGTCACGCAAACACCGCCCACAGAACGTCCCCGAATCAAACGTCACACAACCCGCCCACTTCAGATAAAGCACACCATATAATCATCACGAAACGAAACCATTAAAATGAAGACAACCGAAACAAACAAAGGACACGTTACTGTACAGCAGTACATGAAATGTCTACACGCACAGACCTGTGTATTTCCATTCATTACATTTGTTTACTCGCCGACCAACTGGCATTGTTCATCGACTGCTCTCGCCGAACGCAGGGACCCATCACAGAGAGCGCACACATCCATAATATAAAGCCACAGAAATTCTCCTTTATAACTCGATTTTGCATGTATTTTATAACATCCTCGTTTTGATAGAAGTCGTGTTAAGTGTTTCAGCATAAGAGCGAGTAGCCTTATAAAATATAGCCATATTTTTGCGCTCGGCAGCTATTCACTAAAGCTCTTCATTTAAAGTTTCATTTATAAATTTAACCACGTCATATAAAAACATAAACAGTTGTTTGAGTAGGCCTATATAGAACCCATTTTGTGTTTGGACTTTCCCCCATATGCGTTTAAAGCAGCGAGCGCTGCGCAGGACTGGGTGACAGAAAAAAAAGGTATAGGAGATTCTGCTTTCACTCACCCAAATGCTCTGTTTGCGCGATTTGATTAATATCATCGTATCCAAATACTTTATAAATAATATTTCAAACCTTCTCCGGTGTTAATTGTTTTTATAAAATATCGAAAATCTTTTTTTTTCAGACAGGTCTTTGTAAAATGAAAGTTATAGGCTATATGTGTGGCTTTAAAACGGTTCGATTTATGTGTTGTATATAGGCTACCTACATATAGCTAGCTTTTGTTTATTTTATATTGGTTTATTTATTTAATGTGATTTTATATTTATCCGATATTTGTAATTCTTTAAATTATATTTCATTAAAGCTTAGGCTATTTTATCAGGATATGAAACTATATTGTTTAAAGTCTACGAAAGTGGGCACGTATTTTGTTAAGTTTTATGTCCTTCTGTTTTGTTTTTATTGTGTATTATCTCCAAAATAAATAAAGAAAAAAGCCACTCGCGGCATAACGGAGCTGTGAAGGAGCGCTTTAGCCCGGTCTCACACACACATACAGGCATCTAAACGCGCACAAACACACCTTTTAAATTGACAAAAACTCTCGAAAACCTTTACTGTCTGCTATGTTTTTAATATGGTGTAAAGATTATTATGCGTATTGAAACATAAAGGAGGACGCAGCAAAGAACGTCACTATAAATTAAAACTACTTAATTATTTTATGCAGCAGCCTTACATTTAAAAGCGAAACATAAGGGTGATCATACGCAAAAAGACCCCAGACTATAAGGCTAGATGTTTTCTTTCCCTTATTTCTTTATTTGTTTGGCGCATGTACTCATGTGCGATCAGAAAACTGCCCGCCTCTCCTTTCACTCCGCCCCGAAGCCCCAGCTGGCCCTCCTTGGCCCAAGGTATTCGGCGGGCCGAAAAAGGCCGGCCGCTGGCCCCAAGAAAGCCCCGCTTTGGCCCGATCAGGCCCCGGAAGTGACAGTGGAAACCCCACTGGCCTTGGCTCGCCCTGGCTCGCTCGCTTTAGGCGCGATAGTGGAAACGCGGCTATTGATTGGCTTAGTGGAGTAAAGCAATAGCGCTCAAGTAAACAGTGTTGGTGAAGTGGTCAGGGAAACACTGTAGTCATTACGGTTCTTCTCACCCTTGCTTTAGAGCCAGTTTCACAAAGCCTTTGCGTTTTTTCAGCATGACAGAGTTTCTTCCTGGTGCACAGTCCAGGGATTCTGCAGCTCCTCCGATCACGATGACCACAGCGTTGCCTGTGCCGTTACTGGACAGGAGGTAGTCGATAGAGTTTCGGTTTACTGGGCAGATTCCTGACAAACAGAAGGCCACAGGGTCAGAGATTTGATCAATAGTTGTGATGAAGTCTAAAAATAGGTCCTAGAAATCAGAGTATATGGCAATATATGCAAATTACATATGACATACAAGTTCATATTTGGGTTTTACATACAGGATATAAAATAAATGTTATTTTTGTTTTAATTTTTTTTGTTACTTTTTTATATTTTATTTTTTGGAATTACTAATATGTATTTATTATGATCAAATAAATTAGATATTAATAAAAATGTTTAAAATAATTTTAATTAAAAAAAAAAAATATATATATATATATATATATATATATATATATAATTTTTTTTTATTCATTTTTTTAAGCATTGATTTTTGCAATATTTCAAAATATATAAGACATATAAATATAAAAATAATTTAAAACAATAATTTCTAAACAAGAAATTTCTACATTTAAAATAAAAAGTTTAAAAAAAAAAAGAACAAACAACATAAAATGTACAGCATGTCATGTGACTATGATTGACATAAGATATGTATTAACATGTAAATATGCTGATATAATTAGCAAATTTTAGTTTACAATCTCATCAGGGATTTGGGAAAACGGTATTTTGATTATACATGTACACCGCATGGACGTCTGTTTGATGTTTCTGTTTACATCTCTCTTTGGGGCGTTTATAATTATAAAGATGTTTATAATTTAAAATGTACAAAATAACAGGCCATTTAAAGCTGTTTATCAGATCTTTGTACACAGCAGATGTTTTCCAGACCAAATGACAGGTACAATCATTTTATCACCAATGTTTGTAGTGAATCAAATACCACCACCAGAGCCATTGAAGTGGGATTCTCAGAGTTTTGAGCCTTTCCTTTTGGAAAATGAAAAACACAGTAGTCCCTCCAAGATTATGCAGGGGAATCTTTTTATTTATAAATGTCTGCCTAAAATGACTGAATTTGTGACAGCTTTATTAAAACCTTATGACATGATTTAATTAAATTTTGGTATTTTGCTGTAAATAAAAAAAGACAAAACTCTTGTAAAAGTTAGTTTTTTTTCTTGTAAAAGAGGATTATTGATGTGTTGCTGCAATCAAATTTCAAGCAAAATTCAAGTTTAAAAATACAGATTTTAAGTAAAATTTTACTTAACATAAAATTGACTATACATATTTAATTTTTATTTAATTATTTTATTTAGTTTTATTTAATTTACTTTTTATTTTAATTTCCTTTACTTCAATGTATTTATTTATTTTATTTGCTTTTATTTTATTTTGTTTTATTTTTTTTTACTTTATTTACTTTACTTTTATTTACTTTTATTTTGTTTTATTTTATTTTTTTTATATATTTTGTATTTCATTTTATTTTATTTTACTTTATTTTTTATTTTGATTTTATTTCGTTTTTTATTTTATTTTGCTTTATTTTATTTACTTTTATTTTATTTTATTTTGTTTTATTTTATTTTTATAATTTTTTAATTTAATTTAATTTTCTTTACTTTATTTTGTTTTGTTTTGTTTTTGTTTTGTTTTATTTACTTTTATTTTGTTGCGTTTTATTTTTTTATTTACTTTATTTTATTTTAACAATTTTTATTTAATCTTATTTGTGGAAAATATTTCTTTGATTGCTTTTGAAAAAAAAAATATTGACGTTTGTTTCTTATAAGAGACTCAAAGAAAAGCCTATCAATTGAGTCTCTCGATCAGCAGGTACAAAGGGCAGGTTTCAACACAAGTTCTTCACAAAATATTGACATCAGCACATGCAGGGCTGTGTCTCTCTTCTGCACAACAGGACAAAGCTCAGAGGTCTTTGATAGGATTCTTATCTACACCACACAGAGGACAAGCTTGCTCCTTTTTTTTAAAAAAATCAGCCAAAACCGAACTTCATGCAATGAGTCGTTTTGCTCTTCACTAAATGATGCAACTGCAGGCAATGAATACCTAAAAGATTTACTTTGTAAAAAGGAACAAATATGAAGTTATAGGTACCTCCGCACATCAGGTATTCCCTGAACATGGGCAAGCGAAAGTTTCCAGCCAATGTGGCCAGAGATGGCTTGATTCCTGGGAACACCTTGGTGAATCCTGTGGCTTCTGTCCCGAAGTTACAAAAAGCCCCAAAACACAAGATGCCATGAGGGTGGTAGCCAAAAATGTAGTTTCGGCTGGGAAGCAGGTTATGCGTCTTGATGAGCTGCAAATAAGCAAACAGAGAGGAGATTATTTTAACTGTACAATAAATAAATAAATAAATAAATAAATAAATAAAATACATTTTTTTGAGTAATCATATAGGATGTAGTGCAAAATCAAACAACTTAAAGGAACAATTTAGCCAAAAAGGTTAATTATTTCCTCGTTTATTCACTCTTCACTTGTTCTTTTATTTATTTTTTCTTTTCTTAAGTGGAACACAAAATAAAAGGATGTTTTTAAAAATGTTGAAAACTGGTAACCATTTACTTCAATATAATTTTTTTTTATTTTTTATTTTTATAATTTCTACAATGGATGTCAATGTCTCCCAAATATCAACATTCTTCAAAATATCTTCTTTTTTGTAAAAAAAAAAAAAAAAAAAAAAAAAGAATCTCTGTTTGAAATGTTTGAAAAAAATGTTTGGAACCACTTGTGGGAGAGTAAATAGTGAGCAAATGTTCATTTTTGGATGAACTATCTCTTTAATTTAAACTATAAAACAGCCATAGTATTCCAATTTTGCATTGTCATATAACATGAATTCCCTTATTAAACAGTCATTGCATTGTTTTACTACAAAGTAAAGTCAATAAACCTGTGAATACATTAATTCATTAAGCACTTATCTGCTATCTGTTTATATACAGTATTCTTTCCAGGAGATAATTAAGGTCAGAAAAAAGGCTGGAAGAAGATGTTACAATGGGGCAACAGTTAGCAGCTTAAAAGGAAGCAGATGCACTGAGCGTATCCTGTGTACATAAGAGCAGCTAATCAAACAGCCGGTGTTGCATAATTACATTGATGGATGGAAAACAAAGGGTTTAAGACAGATGCTGCATCAGCTGGGATGACATAATCCCTCTGAGGTGTAGTTAGTGGTTGCCGGGACATTGTGGTCACATTAGGGGAATTTTTAAGGTAAAAAAAAAAAAAATAAGTCAATGGTGTCATTGTCATTGTGCTGGGTTTACACTATATAACACAAGTTTAAATGTAGGAAACACCAACTTATCCAGGGCATGTTTTACGCAGTGGATGTCTTTCCAGCTGCAACCCAACACTAGGAAATCGGGGCAAGTATATTACATCCTAATGTAATACTAATGCATGGATACAGGCAAATTAATGGCAGGTGTTAATGTCAGAAATTAATTTGCCTCGATCTTGTCTTGTGCGCATACAAGTAAAAAATATTTACTTGAACAGAAAAACATCCAGTGAGTAATCTCAGCCTGATCTCACAAGGAAACGTAAGTATTTAATTTATTAGTAGCTAATTCGTATGAGTTCAGTTGTATGAAAATGTACGATTTTAAAAAGGAGGTGTGGCACCCAACCCCACCCTTAACCCCAACCGTCATTGAGTGATGAGTAAATCGTACTAAATTGTACATATTAGATTGTAAAAATTCATAAGAATTAGCCACTAAATCAAAAAGTTACGAATTGCCGTGAGATTGCGTTGGTAATCTACAGCAAGTAGTGTGATTCTTCATGTGTAGGGTGAACAGATAAAAGCTTCTTCAAAATGTAGATTTTGTTAGTCAACACGACCAAAATTCATGACAAACTTGAACAAGTAAACTACCTGACAAAAGTCTTGTTGCTTACCCAAGTTTTAGGAACAACAAATAATTACTTGACTAATAGTTGATCATTTGGTATCACAAGCTTATATGAAAGGCAAAGGCCTCTAGATTATGCTTATTTTACTAAAATAAAATCATGCCTCGATTATTTATTTAATTAAGACAGTAAAGTCTGACATTGCTTAGAAATAATGTACAGTATAGAATATAAAGTCATGCTGCAGTGGAAAAAGAATGAAATTTGTGTATGACTCCCATGAGCTTGGAGGACTGCATCCATACATCTCTACAATGACTTAAATCACTTATTAATAAAGTCATCTGGAATGGCAAAGAAAGCGTTCTTGCAGGACTCCCAGAGATCATCAAGATTTTTTGGATTCATCTTCAATGCCTTCTGTTTCATCTTATCCCAGACATGCTCGATAATGTTCATGTCTGGTGACTGGGCTGGCTAACCCTGGAGCACTTTGACCTTCTTTGCTTTCAGGAACTTTGATGTGAGGGCTGAAGTATGAGAAGGAGCGCTATCCTGCTGAAGAATTTGCCCTCTCCTGGGGTTTGTAATGTAATGGGCAGCACAAATGTCTTGATACCTCAGGCTGATGATGTTGACATCAACTCTGCGGATCTCTCGCACGCCCCAATACTGAATGTAACCCCAAACCCGATTTTTCCTTCACCAAACTTGACTGATTTCTGTGAATCTTAGGTCCATATAGGTGCCAATAGTTTTTCTGCAGTATTTGTGATGACTGAGATGCAGTTCAACAGATGATTCATGAGAAAAATCTGCCACTTTTCCAACTAGAAGTTTAGTTATTATTTGTTGCTCTTACAACTAGGATAAAAGACAAGACTTTTTTTCTACATGACTTTTGTCAGGTAGTGTAGTGAAAAAAATGTGTTGATAATTAAGTGAAGTCAGCATGAAATAACAAACTGCAGCAGAATATCAATATTCCCAATAGGAATACTATTTAAGTCTTTGTTAAAGTGTTATAAGATATAGATCAAGCTACGAGTAGATTCAAATTTTGCCAACTTTGATTTAAAGCATACAAAGTATAAGAAACAGCAGTTAGTTTTCAACTTTATTCAGAGCAATGGTCTCAAGCCGCAGCTCTGCACAGTTTAGCTCCAACCACCTCCAACTCACATCTGCTTAATAGTCTCGAGTAGACTTGAACCCCTTGATTAGATGGATCAGCTGTGTTTGAATGGCGTTAGACCAAAACCGTGCAGAGCTGCGTCTCTCCAGGAATTGAGTTTGATACCAATGATTTAGAGAAATACAGTTGAATAAAGCATTGAATATGACACAGCCAATCACATTAGTGTGGCCAATTTGATTACATTATGCGCCATGCTTCATTGGAGTGGGTGGAGCTAAAGATCTATTTTTGGGGAATTTGCTTGCTGCAGCTTTCTGATTGGTGGAATTTTCTGTGCAGCATGATGGGCAATGTAGTTCTTCTGCACAAATTCTGCTAATAAACAATGACAAGTTAGATTATGTAAACCGATGGATTCAACCAAAGCATGCACAATCAATTATCAACCTTTGGGTCTGTCTTTAAAAGATTATGGGTTATTAAAATTAACCCTTTATAGGGCACTCATTGAAACACTCGTTGGAAAGAACTTAGAGTGTTATTTGAGGATATTACATGACTTTTTAACATTTATTTCGATTTATTTTAACTTTATTTTATATATTATTTATATTGGAATGAGTGTTAAATAGGTTACAATTTACTGTGTGTACGTTTCATATCCTAATAAAGGGTTAATAAATAAAATGATGGGAGTTTATATTGCAGGACATCCTCAATGATATTTAGAGCATTACTATGTGGTTAAACTGTTGCTAGGTGTTTCCCTAAATTAACATTTTTAACTATAATATTTTTTAAATTAATTATCCGTTTCAAACTGTATGATGTTCTTCTTTGCTTATCTATAAACAAGCCTGATTGTTTTCTTACGCTTACAACTTCTAACTCTTCAACAAGACAATTAGACAATTAATCAGATTGACCTTATAGTTCTCTTCACACTTATCAGAACACAGCTGGCACATCATACACTGGATCACTAGGCAAAGTGTTGATCTTATCATGTGACTAAATGTACTACGTGTACTGTAAGGTAAATGTCCAAGCCAACATGCAAACACAGACAATTCCTTCGTGAAAATCCACTGTTTTATCATGCAGATATTAATTCTATTCTAATCTGCATATGATAGTAATGTGCTCATGAAGCTCCTGTTTCACTTAGATGTTGTACTCTGGTTAAATATCAGAGAAAAGACCCAAGATAAACAGAAAACAGAACAGTGCTCTGAGATTACCCGTCTACTGATTAGGACGAGCAAAGTCTACTAGTTCACGTACAACACACACCGAGATCCACCCAACCCAACAGGAACATTATCGATGCTTATTAACACATTTTTATATCAGATGGAATATTTAAAGTCTTAATGTTTGGGGTCAGAAAGATTTTTATTCATAAAAATCGTTATTCAGATAAATAGATTAATTAAATTAATCCAAAGTGAAAGTAAAGACTTTATTATTGATATAATAAAAAGTCAAATGAATGACGTAATGTTTATAGTAAAAGGTCACAATTTACAATAAGGTTTCATTAGTTAGTTAACAATACTCACAGAATTTATTAATCATAGTTCAACATTTACTAATGGCTTATTAAAATCCAAAGTCATGCAAGTTAACATTATTAATGCACTGTGAGTTAACATGAACTAAAACTGATAACTGTATTTCTATTAATGGTGACACTTTAGTTTAGGACACAATTCACGATATTAACAAACCATTACCTAACAATCCTAGCTTAATAAACAACTGATTCGCTGTTTGTTAATAGTTAGTAAGGTATAAGTTGGGTTTAGGTTTTGGGTAGGATTAGGGATGCAGAATAAGATCATACTTTATAACTACTAATGGACAGTGAATAACCTAATAATAGGCAGGTGCTGTAGTAAGCCGGAAGTTAATAGCATGAATTGTGACCTGAACTAAAGTGCTATCCTATTACCTAATGTTAACTAACTAAATGCATCAACTAACATTAAATAATATAACCTTATTGTAAAGGGGTCAGTTGGCATTTCTGTGTGGAGTTTGCATGTTCACCTCGTGTTCGTGTGGGTTTCCTCCGGGTGCTCCGGTTTACAGCCCAAAGACATGTGCTATAGGTGAATTGGGGAAGCTATATTGGCTGTAATGTTTATGTGTGAATGAGAGTGTATAGGTGTTTCCCAGTGATGGGTTGCAGCTGGAAGGGCAGTGGCTGTGTAAAACACATGCTGGATAAGTTGGCGATTGATTTTGCTTTGGTGACCCCTGATTTATAAAGGGACCAAGCCGAAAAGAAAATGAATGAATGAATGTAATGTGTTACCTAGTAAAATAATACATAGATAATCACAATAATTTGTTTCTTTAGCTAAATAAGAGTTTTATAATCAATATTGAGTAATAATACAAAAAAATCTGCCTTAAATCACATAAATTAATTCCATTTTAAAATATTTAGAAATAAGAAATAGGTTTTAAATTGTAAACTGTATTTCAGAACATTTCAGTTTTTTTCTGTATTTTTACAAAAGAAATGTCCTAAAACATAAAAAATATTAATATAAACCTATTAGTTTATAAAATTTTTTAATGTTTTATTTTATTTTATTGTTTTGTTTTTATTATTTTAGTCAAATTTGGTTCCCATAACGTAAGGAATACAAGGTACACACTAGGGTTGGGTCGATAAGCAATGCCATCGTCCATCGCTGATGGCCGATAGACATCCGGATGCTGAGCCGGCAACGCAATCCTCTGCCCCACCCCCATTGCAGCAGCAACCCGCTCGCGAAAAATACACACTTAGACCCTGTTTGCACTAATACGTCTTCGTTTTGAAATGGTGTTTTAGAATGAAAACGTCAACACAGGCGTTTCATCCAGCTTTTCTGAAAAGCCCTCCTTCCACACTATACCACGGAAAATGCACATCACTTGACCACAGACACACACACACACATACACACACACACACACACACACACACACACATATACACACTCTGGAATGCGCTGCAGCATATGCACACGTCTGAGCTCCAGGCAGTCAGTCGGTGCTTTAAACAACCCCTGAGAGCAGTGCACTTCGGACAGTTTATCAAGGATGTACCGCTGGATCACGTATCACTATAGTTGTTGAAGGTGATGTTTTTTAATCTTGTCTCTATCTAACGACTCTTCAGTCTTTTGAATCTATCAGGTAACATATCACAACGTCAGTACACTGCTTCAATCTTTCACTTTCATGTTTGTATTAATTAATTTGAGTCAAAACCTCAGATACTATTGATTGGTTTCTGTTGGTTGTGCTCCTTTTTTTACCAACTAAGTTTGTTGACAGCATTATGACGACACAGATCACTGCCTATTCATGCCAGAGTCCCGCTGAAAAAGTGATTGACAGGTGGTAATTTGTGTGTAACTTATCTTTATTTATTTTTGATTTGTTTATGGCTAAAAGGTAGTTGAAACGGTAGGCTACAAATAATTAATTCATTATAAATTAATTAATTATTCATAAATAATTAATTCACCGCTGCCTACAGTAAAGAGGCCACGTTGCCAAATTGGTCGACATCGCCCAACCCTAGTACATACACACAAAATTATTATGGGATTATTCACAGAATAATTGTGTGTGTGTGTGTGTGTGTGTGTAATATGTGTGTCTGCCTTTTATTCCTTACATTGTTACCAAATGTGACCAAAATGGACATTTTTTTGTCCCACGGCTCATAAAATCACAGAGAATGTAAGTATTTTGTATGTATGTTTGTAAGTATTCCAGTATTTTTCAGTAAAATGCAGATCAGTTCATGTTATGATTGGGTTTATGGGTAGAAAAATAGAATATACAGCCTCTATACTCTATAAAAATCATTACATATATGGGAAGTCCTCATTAAGATAGCTCTACAAGTGCATGTCCCTTAAAATCTATACATAAAAACTGTAGGACTCTGCACTTTCAGATTAGCAAAGTCCATACATTTCATAATTCTATATTGAGGATAATCTTCATATTTACATAACTATTAGCTATTCGGTGACTAAGCCTTCAGTGTTTGTATCTCCTTAAACTGTTGTATAAGCTGTAAGTCACTCACTCTTATGGGAAAATAGTCTCTCATGTATTTCCACACAGTCCAGTCTCTCACCCAGGTCGATCTGCGGCCTCCTGAGATAAAGATGTCTGAATATTAACACAAATGCACATGCAAACACAGAAACAACACGCACCCTAGATGAAGAGAAGAGTTACCTTGTCCAGGGGTGTTCCAGTCATAGATAAGCCAGGCAACGTAAAGCACAGAAATGACCCAGAAGTCTGTGCAAAACATGTACATCAGCAGCAAAGAGCAAGCAATGCCTAGAAGAGCAAAATAGAGGATTTAGAAGAATGAAAATGATGATGAATGGGACAGGTTTATCCAAAAATGAATATTGTCCTCATTTACTCAATCCAAAAAGTGTTGTGGGTTCATCTTTTGAACATTAATGAAGACATTTTTATATAAATCAGAGAGTGAGATGTTATTCCCTCAACTCAAAGACTATTGCTGTGAATCTCCAATGAAGATTTAAGGAGATTTAAAGGTCCCATGAAATTAAAATGAAGTTTTTAGATGTTAGTATCTGTAGTTTTTAGGATGTCTATAAGTTACTAGTGTGCTCCAAAACAGTGACGCAATTCACGCTTAGAAGATATTCAACTGATATCAACTTGTAAAGCTTGTAGTTTGTCACTTCCACCTAAATGGATCAACGGTTTTATTTGCGTCACCTCATACCTTAAGTTTCTTATCAAATATTAACCAATCAAATGCTCTCTAGTTTCTGACATGCCCCACCCCCTTCAAGACGCTTCTCATTTGCTTTTCATTTAATGTGCTTGAGCTCAACCACTCTCACTGGCATAGCTGTGATAAAGATAAACACTATTGGCTGCTTTTTTAAAGGGGAGGAGCTACAATATGTCCCACCCTCTCTTCGTGTTTTGGTTAAGATTTTGTCAAACATCAAATAAAAATGTACATTTCAAAGCACTCCATGAGACCTTAAAAATTAAGTATTAGTGATGCGCGGATGGCGGTTATATTCGCGGCTGCTACGGATATTTCACTGGTCAGGCTGGTTGGATAAAAAAAAATACATTATGATTAATTGTGGATCGGTTGCGGATGGATGTAGTGGGACATGGCAGTGGACCAGCGAAAAAGCAGAGAGTGGGCTTTGCTGAATGGGAAGATGAGACGCCCAAAATAATGGATGAAGTGCAAGAGTACTGGTCAAACTTTAAGCTAGAGGAGTCATCAGAGGAAAATCTGCTATCCTTCTGGGAGAAACAAGATCGCTTATTTACACGACTGCAGCACCTTGCGAGGAGAATCTTGTACATTTCTTCAACAAGCGGTTGAAGAACACTCATTCAGTGCAGCTGGCTGCGTTTTGGAGGCGAGGAGGAATCGTCCAAATTTAGACACAGTAGAAGCTATACTTTTTTTTTGCACAGTGCGAAGAAAAAGGCCAAGTAAGCACAACTAAGCTACCGCTTAGGCTGAAGTGGCACCTTTTTTCTTATCTTGTTCCTGTATCTGTAAAAGCTCAAATGTCTTATTTTTACTGTCTGTATTTGAAAATGAAGAAAATGCTGTCCAAAGACATACTTTTGTTTTTATAAATAAATATAAATTTTTACATTTACGATTAACGTAGGCTATTATTGTACTATCAGAGATGCGCAGATTAGCTCACTGAATCTGCTGTTAATTTCCGCAGTGACCTATCATCATGCCTAAAACAAAGAATTAGAATTATTAAGGTGACGAAGTGACGATGTGGTGGTAAAGATGGTAAAATTGCTGTATTTCATTACAAACATGCACTGATTTAAAAACGTTTTAAACTCGTAAAACTTATTTTTTTATCATATTTGATGATGATTGATGATCACAGAGAGCTGAACAGATCTTTTAATCCCAGTTGCGTTGTGCATCTCCTGTCTTATTGATATAATTATATGATTATACTACTGAGACATGTTACTATATAGCTGTCAATCAATTCAGTGGGTGGGGAAACCGCACTCCTACGTTAAGTTGCGGTCGGCCTCAAAATGGGAGAGCTTTGGATCCTATTTTACGTCAGTAAATGTTTAAAAATAAGACTCATTGTGTTTATATAACCACAATATGACTGTGGACACACTAAACCTACACATAGTTCTGTCTGCTCAGCTTCCAAAAGATGATTTTCATCATAGGTGCACTTTAAGTTATTTTGGTTATATAACAAATAACAAATTTTAAGTTATATTTTCGAATATGTCTAATTCGCTTAAATTTGTAAAAACTATTAAGTTAACTTTAGTTAATTTGATTTGTGTTGGGACAGCGTGAAGAAATTGTGTGGAACCCAATATTTTTTACAGTGTACTTGTCTTGTTTATTCTTGGTTGCTAAGTTACCAATACTACAGTCAGCTGCTCTAACAACTTGCTGGAAACGCACCTAAATCACATTTCTTTTCTTTTTTGCAAAGTTTAAAAAGACTAACTTCAACTAAGGGGAAAAAATCTAATGCTCATACACAAATTAAAGCCGTTTATCGGAATGATATAGAAGCCTTGATTTATCTTAAAGCATTTATCTTCATTTTTGATGTAGCAAATAAGATGAATGAAAGCCTTATGGGTCTGATATGGGATTGAGTAAATGATGACATTTCATTTTGGGATGAACTAATCCTTTAACAATCATAACCGCTGAAATCAAGTGGAGCGTATTGAATAAGGCAGCAGAATGTCCCGCACTGTAAATTCTTAGAGCCTCCGTCACTCGTCCACTCACCCATGGTAAGAAATGTCATGATAAACTGCAGCACGGAGATCACCTGCAGATGCTTCACCATTTTGGATCGGGTCAGCCACGGGACGGTGGGCAGGTCGTGTAAGGCAGAGAGGATGCTGGAGCCCGAGCCTACACAGGATTTAAAGGAGAACTGGAATTAGCCAGCTTAATGTTACAGGAATGCTTGTTCCTTAACACTAAAGTCTGTCTGAAACTAGAAATAACATCATGCATACTGTGACTATATCGATGTCTATCAGAGAGTTATGTCTTTAATAATGTGACCCGTTGACGTACACGTAAGACGGAACAACAACAAACAATTTTGAGCATGCATTTTTGACAGAAAAGATCTAGGCTTAATCAGGAACCACGTCTAACGTGATACCTCAAATTCATTATTCATAAAGCCCAAGCATAATTTACAGATCAGAAAAGATAAGGCATGAAGTACTGAAGCAGAAAGACTTCAGATCACAAGACAAACCTAATCCCATCTTAACTGACTCAAAATAACAACAAACATCGCTGCAAAGTCAGAAGCTGATGTTCATGTAACGCTATTATCTCCCTCATTCATTCGATCAGGATTGAGCAGTAACCGTAACACTTCTCTGATTCTCACTCAAGTCTGTAGAAGTTCTTTTAAATAAAAAAAGGAAAGGCAAAACCTAAACTCTTTGATAAAAGATATTTTTTGTTTTATTCTGTATATTGATTCAAATTTAAACTCTAATTTCACACTTTTTTGTCTCGTTTTAAAAAGAATAATTGTTTTTTTTTTACTTCATAAAAAAATTCAATATTTGATGGAATAATGGAGATTTCTAAGGAAAAAATTATTATATAAACATTTGTTACTCTGAGCATTTGAATTTTAGTCAAAAATAAATCCTCATTTATTCCATATGATTGATTGTTTTATATAATATTATTAAATATATTAAATCAAATATTACAAATGCACACAAAAACACACAAATATCTCTGGACTCTAAACTCGTTGAGTAAAATGTTTTTTTCTGTACTATACTGATTTTAAACTCCAATTTCACATTTTTCTATTTTTTTATCAACATATATATATATATATATATATATATATATATATATATATATATATATATATATATATATATATATATTCAGAAAAGTAAAACATGCAATATTTGGTGGAGTAACGCTGGTTATTTTTAAAATCACAAATATAAACAATTGCAACTCTGACCAATTGACTTTTAGTCAAAAACAAATCCTCTGAATGACAATTTTTGTCATTTAAATAAAAAAAAGGCTAATCAAACAAATAGACTAAAAGTAATTAACTTTTTGCAGATATATTCAAGTGGTCTCCACATTTACTCCATATAATTGACTGTTTCATCCTATATTTATTAGACATAATAAATCACATATTACAAATGCAAACACATGATGTACGAAAAAATAAATAGAAAATACAATGCTAATGATGAGTGTTGGGGAAAAAAATAATATATTACAAGCTTGAATAACTTTAAACTTGGGTCACACTTTTTTTGATGGTCCGGTAAATTTAAGTTACCTACATGCCAACTAATTGTCATTAGATTATAAGTAGACTGTTAGGTTGGGGTTAGAGTTAATGTAAGTTGACATGTACTTGCAAAGTTTCTTATAGTCAGTTAAATGTCTGTTGAAGGAACAGTATCAACAGATATCAAGCAGACAGTCTACTAATACTCAAATGGACCATAGTGTTACCTAAACTTGTAATATATTACTTTTTAATCAACTGTGCCAATGATTACTTAGAACACAAATATTTTTTCTTACCCTTTTTGACACCGGAATATGCAGCAAGTATGGTCTTCATGGTTGAGGCTAGAGGAATAAATTAAGGTAAAGTAAAGAAATGTGAGCTGAAGGTTGAGCTGCTCTACAGCATCTCTCTCTCTGTACTGGCGTCGGCCGCGAGCTCACAGGCGCGCGCCTGTCATTTAAGCACCTCAGGGGGAGGAGCGTAAAACACGCTGTCAGTAAAACCGCAACCGCCTGTTAAAAGAGCTATTGTCAAGCTTTATTTAAAAAAGACTATTCTGTCTTATAGATTTCTGTCTGCAGCAGCTGACTGGATGGGGTCACGGTTACGCGTTACGCTGTGGGCACTGACTGCTTATCGCTTCATCTGATCAGGAGGTTTTAAAGGTTTGTGAAGGTAAACTGGGCGCTCTGCCAATCAGATGGAGGATACTTTAGCCCCTCCCACGGGATTTTTTTGACAAACACTAATTATCTGTGTTCACTCTAAAAAAAACAAGCATTGCTTCCTCAGTTTGTTAACTTATTTCAGATTTATGTAGTCTAGAATTAAATCATTTAAATTAATAAATAATAATTTGCACGTCCTTCATAATTTCAGCAGTCTTAAGAGCAGTTCCAGAGTTGAGAAATGAAGGGCAAAAAGTGATATTGAATATCCTTTAGGGACATTAGCTGTTTCATAATGTCCCAATTTCTCTTTTTCCCAAAGTCAAGGCCAGTGTTGCTACTGCAGTGACCTTTGTTACCCTGTTCTTCATGCCAGGCTTGGCCAGCGGTCAGATGGCAGAGACTACGTTCACCTTTGCTGCTGTCTGGTCTTCAGCTTTGTTATTTATTAACAATAGCCTATATTAAATATAATGTGCTATTTATATGCTATACCCTCTCACAAATAAAGCCAAGATAGCGTCACTGGGGCAGTACCTTTTCAAAAAGAACTCTTTTGTACAAAATATGTAGGTCCATATTGGTTCCTTAATGGTACCTTAAGTTAATTTTTAAATTTGTAGCCTGTTTGGGTTCTAATATGAACCTTTTTTTGGACCTAACACAATTATCATTATTATTATTACTTATTCAGTCATTCATTCATTTCCCTTTCTTAACCAGGGGTCGCCACAGCGGAATGAACCACCAACTTATTCAGCATATGTTTTAAGCAGCAGATGCCCATCCAGCTGCAAACCAATACTGTGAAACACCCATACACTCTCATTCAAACTCATACACTACGGACAATTTAGTTTACCCAATTCACCTATAGTGCATGTCTTTGGACTGTAGGGGAAACCGGAGAACCCGGAGGAAACTCACACGAACAAGGGGATAACATGCCAACTAACCCAGCTGAGACTTAAATCAGTGACCTTCTTGCTGTGAGGCGACAGTGCAATTCACTACGCCACCGCACTTCCCTTATTACTCACTTGGCTTAATTCTTGCTTTATCAGGTGTCACCAACGCGAAATGAACCAGCAATTACTCTGGAATGGGTTACCTTTAGGATGTGCAACCCTCAGTGCTGGGGAAACTCCCACACACTTTTCCTTTCACACACTACAGTCAATTTAGTTTATCCAGTTCACCTATGCCGCATGCGGACTGTGAGGGAAACTGGAGAACCTGGAGGAAAACCACATGGACAGAACATGCAAACTCCACAAAGACCTCGTCTCAAGCTGCGGTCACACTGGACTTTTCTCTCCGTAGGCTTCTATTCATACACACACGAATTCTTCAGATTGTAAACTTAAGCTCGGGCGTCAAGTTTCGCAGTTTGCTGCGTTGCAAAGTTTAAGCTTGATGAACTTTGACCTGCGAAATTGCATCACTTGAGTATGTGATATTAATTGAGAGTCAAAACATGACCTTTCTGGACAAAAATGTAAAATATGAAGCAATCGCTCGCTTTTTTAATGTCTAATAATCTCCTTTAATCCCGCCCCTTTTCACAGCACAGTACAATAGAATTTCGCAAGCTCAAACTCTAGTGTGACCGCAGCTTAACTGGGACTTGAGCCAGCAACCTTCTTGCTGTGAGGTGACAGTTACCATTAGCCACCGTGTCAATAATTAAATTTTATTTATTAAAAATTCTAATGATTATGTCTTTTACATAGTGCTGCATGTTTTTGTGAAACTTTGGCATACTTTTTAGGCTAGTTCAGCATAAATTTCATTGAAACTGCCAGTAGGTGGCGACATGTCCCTGCTTTACATTTGATGTGTTGAATACTGCAGATGTTTTTTTTTAGAAATGAAGCGTGTGACAGTCCTTTTGTCATTTTCCATTCAGAAACAAATTAATATAGCAACAAAACACCATAGTGACACTCTGAAAACCACAAATTTGTTGGAGAGGCCGAAAAACAATTGTTTTTTCTTCCACCCACATCCATGTCCACCGTCATCTTTCCATGTCCTCCTACACATAGTTTAAAAAAACAGTTAATACAATAATTACCACACACCCTCACATTTTTTTTTTTCCTTCTCCAAGGACAATTTTCATGAGAAAACTCATCTAATATCTTTAGCTGACATTATGTTCATGTGTATCATTCGAGCAACTTAATGAAATAGTTTTGTGTCAAATAGTTTTGAATAGTTTACCATATATTAACTTGAGTTCTTTCAGCTTTCATCGTAGATAAAAACGGATGATGAGCATTTTATTTGACACCCATCCAACTTAAATGAGGAAATAAATTCAGTCTAGACTGTGAATTGCACAAGCTGACTGTAATTTGTACAGTATCAAAATCAAAGGTTCATTTGGCTGAAATAATTCAGCTGGCCTTTGTACTTTGGTCTACATTAGACAAATGCTCATTTGTTGGCATTACCTATTGATCGTTTTGATTATAATAAACCCTTTTAATGTAGCATGCCAGTCATAATCTGAAAGTAAAGTGAAGATAATATAAAGATAATGTGTTTGCCAGTGTAAATGTTTTTCTTTTTTTCCTTCAGGGTGCGCTTCATCAGCACAAATATAAATAACACAAGTATACTTAGAAGTGTGTAGATATTGTTTGTGTCCTATATGCAACAGTCATCCACACTGCATGCTTAACCCACTGCTGTCAGGTAGAGATAAGGTGTTTTTGAATTGATAAAAGGTCTACTAAGTATCTGGTTTGTTTTGTACTTTGCACCTCGGTCTTAAAAATATGTCTGATACTATCAGACATCTCGTATCTAGATTTTGATTGAGCTACAAAAACATGATATTGCTGCCTAAATATGCAACAATGCTCTGGATAGGAAACACCTCAAAAACTGCATGAAGAACAAAACTAAATGTTTGTGAAGACAGACTTCATATTGTATTGAGAAATCTTGACTGTTTGAAGAAGTTTTTAAAGTCTAAAATATACACTCACCGGCCACTTTATTAGGTACAGCTGTCCAACTGCTTATTAACGCAGATTTCTAATCAGCCAATAACCTGTCAGCAACTCAATGCATTTGCCTTGTTAATGACAGAGGTGAGAGGAGAATGGCCAGACTGGTTCCAGCTAATAAAAAGGCAACAGTAACACAAATAACCACTCGTTACAACCGAGGTATGCAGAAGAGCATCCCTGAATGCACAACACGTCCAACCTTGAGGCGGATGGGCTACAGCGGAAGAAGAACACACTGGGTGCCACTCCTGTCAGCTAAGAACAGGACACTGAGGCTACAATTCACACAGGCTCATCAAAATTGGACAATAAAGATTGAAAAATTGTTGCCTGGTCTGATGAGTCTCGATTTCTGCTGCAACATTTGGATGGTAGGGTCAGAATTTGGCATCAACAATATGAAAGAATGAATCCATCCTGCCTTGTATAAACTGCTGGTGGTGGTGGTGTAATGGTGTGGAGGATATTACCTTGGCACACTTTAGGCCCATTAGTCCCAATTGAGCATCGTGTCAACGCCACAGCCTACCTGAGTATAGTTGCTGACCATGTCTATCCCTTTATGACCACAGTGTACCGATCTTCTAATGGCTACTTCCAGCAGGATAATGCACCATGTCATAAAGCATATATCATCTCAGACTGGTTTCTGTTCACATGACAATGAGTTCACTGTACTCAAATGGCCTCCACAGTGACCAGATCTCAATCCAATAGAGCACCTTTGGAATATGGTGGAACAGGAGGTTCGCATCATGGATGTGCAGCTGACAAATCTGCAGCAACTGTGTGATGCTATCATATCAATATGGACCAAAATCAATATTTCCAGTACCTCGTTGAATCTGTACCACGAAGGATTAGGGCAGTTCGGAAGGCAAAAGAGGGTCCAACCCGGTACTAATAAGGTGTACCTAATAAAGTGGCCAGTGTTATGTAGTAGGATCGCTAGTATAGTCACTATGTTTTTTCCCGCTGTTACCATGTTAGTAGCCTGTTTTAGCGTGTAGCTATCAATTTTTGTAATAGTGTAAGGTTGCTTTAGCAAATTGCTAACGTAGTATTATTAATTTCCTAGAGCTAGCAAGTTTTATCTTGTTTCTAGCATGTTTGTAGCATGTTTACATGCTGCTAGCATGTTTCTAGTCTGTCGATGGCACTTTCTCATAATTGCTAGCGTGTTTCATCAAATTAATAGCACTTTGCTAGCATGTTTTTTTTCTTTTTTGCTAGCATGTTAACAGGTTGTTTTATTGTGCCTCTTTTAGTACATTGTTAAAATGTTGAAACACATTGCTAGGATGTTTCTAGCCTGTTGTTAGCACTTTCTCGTAATTGCTAGCTTGTTTCAGTACTTTTGCTAGTGTGTTAAAAGCATGTTTTGGTGTGCATGTTTTAGTAGAGTAAGAGTAGGGGGTTTCACCCCAGTATCCTGGCCAAATTTGCCCACTGGCCTCTGTCGATCATGGCTTCCTAACAATCCCCATAACATAATTGGCTTCATCACTCTGGCTCATCTCCACAAATCAGCTGGTGTGTGACGTGCGGTCTGGCGCAAAATGTCTGCCGTCATCCAGGTGGATGCTGCACACTGGTGGTGGATCAGGAGTTTCCTATTTATGCGTAAAGCACTTTGAGTGCCCAGAAATACACTATATAAATGTAAGGAATTATTATAATTATTAGTGGTAGTAGTAGTAGTAGTACAATATGAAAATGCTAGCATGTTTCTAGCCTGTTG